AAAAAAAAAAAAAAAAAAAAAAAAAAAAGAACACAGTAGAGGATTAACTATTCCCCATGTTAAAACTCACTATTTAATTGGAATAATCCATAGACTATGGTAATAGTATAGTTATAAAACCAAAAAAAATGGGAACATATTAGAGACCCCAAAAATATACTCACACAAATACTTCAAATTAAATTACAATCAAGTGAAAAAAGCAATTCAGTTAAAGGGTGATAGAATTTCCAATAGTGGTGCTGGAACAACTGAACATTCATAAATAAACATAATAAGCCTCAACCTAAACATCTTATCTTAAATAAAATTGTATTGAAGTTGGTCAAATATTTAAATTTTAAGTGCAACATTTAAAAATTTTTAGAATAAATATGGGCTAAAATCTATAGAGTTTAGACTAGACACAGAATTATTTATGCTTGACAATAAAAGCATAATCCATTAAAGGAAAAGCTTATAGTAGAACATTAAAAAATATAGAAATTAAAATTTTTCCTTTGCAAAGGTCCATTTAAGAGGATAAAAGATGAGTTACACACTGCAAGACAATATTTTCAAAACACACTTCTAATTAAAATATTTACAGTAATAATATTTAAAAGAAACTCCCAAAAGTGGCCATAAATTATCAATACAGTTAGAATATAATCAAAATACTTAAACATGAATGTCATTTAAGAGGATGCACAGACAGCTATTAAGAACATAAAAAAATCCATTAATATTATTATCTATTAGGGAAATTAAAATTTAAATTAACATATCAGTATTGATCTGGTAGAAAATAAGAAATTCTTCTGGAATGTTTTTTTTCTGTGATTTCTGGAAACCTTTTATGAAATGCAACAATAATCAAGTTTCTCTTTTGGGTTTTTAAATTTTTAAAAAATAATGACAGAAAAAATGCATTAAAATTCATATTACACATATAGAGCACAATTATTCATACCTCTGGTTGTATGTAAAGTATGTTCACACCAATTTGTGTCTTCACACATGTACTTTGGATAATGATGTCCATCACATTCCACCATCATTGCTAACCCCCTGCCCTCTCTCTTCCCCTCCCATCCCCCTGCCCCATCTAGAGGTCGCCTATTTCTTCCATGCTCCACCTCCCTACCCCACTATGAGTCAGCCTCCTTATATCAGAGAAAACCTTCAGCATTTGTTTTATGGGGATTGTTAGCATTATATTCTCCAACACCATTCATTTACTTGCAAATGTCATGATTTTATTCTCTTTTGTTGATGAGTAGTATTCCATTGTTTATATTGCCAATTTTTTTTATCCATTTATCTAGTGAAGGGCATCTATATTGGTTCCACAGTTTAGCTATTGTGAATTGTGCTGCTATAAACATTGATGTGGTTGTGTCCCTGTAGTATGCTATTTTTAAGTCCTTTGGGTATAGACTGAGGAGAGAGACAACTGGGTCAAATGGTGGTCATTCCCAGTTTTCCAAGGAATCTCCATATTGCTTTCCATATTGGCTGCACCAATTTGCAGTCCCACGAGCAGTGAATGAGTGTACCTTTTTCCCCACATCCTTGCCAAAACTCACTGTTGTTTGCAGAATAACTGCCATTCTGACAGGAGTGAAATGAAATCTTAGAGTAGTCTTTATTTGCATTTTCCTAATTCCTAGATATGATGAACATTTTTTCATATATCTTTTGATTGATTATATAGCATTGTCTGAGAAGTGTCTGTTCAGGTCCTTGGCCCATTTATTGATTGGGATATTTGTTTTTTGGTGTTTAGCTTTTTGAGTTCTTTATACACCCTAGAAATGAATGCTCTATCTGATGTGTAAGGGGTAAAAATTTGCTCCCAAGATGTAGGCTCTCTATTATTCTCTATGTAGGCTCACAGATTGTTTCTTTTGCTGAGAAGAAACTTTTTAGATTGAATCTATTCCATTTATTGATTCTTGGTTTTAATTCTTGTGCTATAGGAATCTTACTAAGGAAGTTGGGGGCTAATCTGACATGATAAAGATTGGCACCCACTTTTTCTTCTATTAGATGCAGAGTCTCTGGTTTAATTCCTAGGTCTTTGATCCACTTTGACTTGAGTTTTGCTCATTGTGAGAGATAGGGGTTTAGGTTTAATTTTATTTTGTTGCATATGGATTTCTAGTTTTCCCTGCACCATTTGTTGAAGAGATTATCTTTTCTCCAATGTATGTTTTTGGCATCTTTGTCTAATTTAAGGTAATTATAATTTCATGGAATAGGCTCAAAAAAAAACCACTTGAGAATCAACTTAATGAAAGAGGTAAAAGATTACACAATGAAAAATACAGAACCCTAAAGAAAGAAATCAAAGAAGACCTTAGAAGATGGAAAGATCTACCTTGCTCTTAGATAGGCAGAATTAATACTATCAAAATGACCATACTATCAAAAGCACCACACAGATTTAATGCAATTTGTATCAAAATCCCAATAATATTCCTTATAGAAATAGAAAAAGCAATCATGAAATTCATCTCAAAAAATAAAGAGACCCAGAATAGCTAAAGCAATCCTTAGCATCCTTAGCAGGAAGAGGGAAGTGGTTGGCTTCACTGTACCAGACTTTAAGTTATATTACAGAGCAATAGTAACAAAAACAGCAGGTATTGACACTAAAACAGACTGGTAGACCAATGGTACAGAATAGAGGACACAGAAACTAATCAATTTTTTATTCACTTTTTTTTAAATGAAGAATTCCCTACCTTTCAATTCTACTGAAACCCACTTCTCAACAGTGTGAAAACCATGTGGGCTATAAGTGTCACATTCTCAGAATCTCCTTATGCCTCAAATTATTTGACTTTTTAGTTTTGTTTCTGTTTGTCTACTGAATTTTCTCTCAATTCCTACATAACCTATACCCAGATTCCATCAGTTCTCAAATTATCCAATAACTTCGATTCATTCTGGATTGATGCTGTCACCTGCTTTCCTCTCTTCTACAACAAAGTGGCCAACACTGTTGGGAAACACCAACAAATACATAAGATGATATGATTAGGGGATGCTAACCACTGGGTGGAATATATTCAGAGCTAATGCTAGATATTCTGACCCCACAAATAAAGGATGAATTTAAGAAAAGATATTTCAAACTCTATTACCTTTTTAATACATTTTTTTCTTCTTTTGTAAAATACCTTCATAACTCTCTTTTTTTTCACTTCATAAGATCTGCATTCCTTTTAATATTCTTGACTTTTAATTTAATTTATATTGCTAAATCAATGATCTTTTATGTTACCCATTTAATAAGAATTTTGACACTTGTCTTAATATTGGCTATATTGTTTCATATTGCTGTGGAGAAGGCTATTTAGGTTAAATATTGTCCTGCTCATTAAAATGACAAGAGAGCTGAATTACTTAGGAACATCTTCAGTAATAAGAAGATATCTTATTTCACAAAATTCATACAACTGACATGAACACCACCTTCACCAAAAACTTTCTAGGCAAACATGTACAACTTATGATTAATAGCTTAACATCTTCATTTTCTAATATCCAGATTTCCTGTATTTCCCCTTAATGTGTGTATATGTTTGTGTGTATGGTTTTTGTTTATTTTTTTGTTAGTGTGATTTTCTGTGAAGAAAATGGATAATTAAATACATCGTGTTACTGAAAATGAACTGAAACCATATAGGTCTTCATCAGAATCTGTTCCTTAACTCAGCATTGGTTAAATGTAATACAAAGAGAACAGATTCTAAAATTTTTCAGAGTCAGGCTTATTTTGCACACATTACATTATGTTGGGACATCTAGAATCCATAATATCAAAGCAACATCACATTACCATCAACATAGCATACTAGTGTCAATAATAACTAAGATTTTTTTGATAAAACATCTTTAAAACACACTAAAATACTTTCTTTGATCAATTTGTCCTTCTCTCTAAACCTCTTTCAAGGACACGTAAGTTTCTGACCCAATTTCCAAACCCCTTTTCACTCCAAGATTCAATCTTATGTATAATTGTAAAGCACAGCAGGTTAAAAAGTCAACTTAGTTGATATCAAACAATGTATAAAAGATGAGAAGAGATGTACTTCAAACAGAATCTGCACACCTGGGAACAAAAATTTCTGTTGTGTAAGTGTGTGTGGCTGTGTTAACATGCATGCATAAATATTTAGTGCCCCTCTCCTTTACAAATTCTTAAATGACTTACCAGTAGAATAAATGGTTTCCATTATCCTTTCTACCTGTGACTTTAGACATAGATAGTCTATACTGTCTGTTTTCAAGAATTAAGTTTTTTGAGACTTGCCATGGCATAGAAACAAATTTCTTCCTCTTTGCCTCTCAGTTTCTTAAGTTCTAAATTTAGATGCTTAGCAACAAGAATTCTCTATTCAGTGGATCATGACAATGGACTTGCACATTCTAGTTTGATTTCACTCTTACTACAAATTTACTTTTAAATCATATACAACAAAAATCAGACCAGCTTCTTCTAGAAGCTCCCTGTATATTTTATGTCAACTTCAGTGCTTTTGCTCATGTTTTTCTCCTGTTTCCAGGTAATTTTCTTACCATTCAGACTTATTGTAGAACATTTCAAGTACTTGAAGGTCCAGAAAATGTCCAGCACCATTGTAAACTCTGTAAAATCCAGCCATAAATGCCTATCTATGTAGCAAAGGATGACTATAAAATCTTTTATTGTCTGCATGCTAATTTGTTTACTAATAAGGGAAAATAGTCTGGGAACTGTGGTCAGCAAATCAAGATAAAATAGCATTTAGAAGAAGGGAGAGGATAATGGTAAATATAACCAATGTGAGAGTAAATTTAATAACTATATTGACTTCATACCATTTAACCATGTGATCCAAACTGTTGGAGATGATTTATAGAAACAAGATTTGCTATTTATGACTTGTTTCACCTTGAAGTAGAGAAGAGCTTTTCTCTGAGAAAGATCCATGGGTATCTTTCCATTAGGTATTTCATATTAGTAAGTCTGTATTTGCAATGTTTTCTTCATTGAACTTTTTCATCTTCTCCTTGACTTCCATAACATTAACTCATATTGGAGTAAATTTGACCATAATTGTTTCATTTTATTTGACCTAATTGAACAGCTCTATATATTTTAATATCTGGTGATCAAATCAGGGGAAAATGTAGGACAACATTCATAAGTTATATAAATATGAACTTGGATTTATTAATTATCTCCATGTTCTGAGTTTAAATTTGAAGAATGACTCTAGTGGAGTCTAATCAGTATTACTTAACCAAGAAGCACTGTTTCCCCCAATTTTTTTAGTGGGATCTTTTTTCAAGTTTTCCTATGTATACTAAGATATATTAGTTATTGTGTGAATTTTGTCTTTTTTAATGAGCAAATTTTTGAGGATAGTTTCATTTGCTGGTGTTTCAATTGTTGAGTTCACACTGCTCTTTTGGGTCTCCAAATTTTAAGTTGTCTCATTTATTTAATTAGAAATTGTTTTCTTACGTATTCTAGCTGAGGAGCATGGGACAGAGTGAAAAAGATTTGTACACACAATGAAAGTTTATATTTCAGAACATTTCTGGTAAGTCAGAACATTGATTCTTAATGTTAGCAAATAGGATAGGTATTTTAAGAGCTCAGAAAATTACTGTACATTTACAAAATATATTTTCATGTAAATAGGGTATTGTGAGAAAATTACTGAATAACAATTCTTTCATTGGTCCCTTCTTTCATTTCTGACCTGTCTTGTGTTTCTTTTAGGATCCTGGAAATATTACTTATAAGACAATCATTAGGAAAATAATATCTACTTGGTGCATATGTTTACTAAGATATATTATTGTATATAACACTTAGTGTTAAGTATTAATATTTTAAATGGTTTATGGTCCGATAACAAACCAACTGCTTAGAACAAAGATGAATTTAGCAATTATTGGAACAAACAAATTAGGAAATTATAGGAGTTTTAAGGAAAAAAACCTGTCAACTAAAGGACAAGACAAAAGGAAAAGTAATAAATGGAAAAGAATACAAATACTAAATTTAATTTCAAACGTAAACCTGTTGACAATGTTTGGATGCAGATCCAAAAATCTCAGGAGCAAAGAATCATCCTTTTGAACCATATAACATTAGGAGTTAGTGTAGTTCCCTAAATTCATCTGGTTCTGAACACACTTAAATTTGCCATAGAACCAGATCTCCAGTGGGAATAGGAATAAGAGTACAATTAAAATGAGGAACATGAATCCATGGGTGTATATACTAGGGTTTTTAAAAGATTTTAAGATTAAAAATGTCTGAAACAAATGTTTTCAGTAAAGTGCTAAACCTGACCCTTGTCAGTGTCTCCTTCAATATGTTTATTCAGTCTCCTTGTCACATATAATATTGAATTGTATCTAGAATGTCTATTTGAAATTGAAGACTTGAAAAAATGACTATGGGAAATGACTTAGTTTTATATCAATATCTAGACACCTTAGAGTGTGATAACATATTAAGATATTATCTAAAAAAAGAAAGAAATCAAGTCTTCTGTGTTTCCTGTAAATGTTTCACATGTGAAGATGTTAGAAGTTCATGGAGATTTTGAAAAGTTGATCATTTTATCATAGGATTGGGAGTGTAACTTTGGGTCAGGAATGACTGAGCTCTTGAAAACATCAGTACTTTTTATTCAAAAAGACAAAAACAAAAAACATTACCTTATCATATTCTCCCCCAGCTGGGAGGGAAGATATGGATTTGAAGCTTCAATTGAATGAGATTATCACACATATCCATTAAACATTTTGCTTGTAAAATAAGATATTTTTTAAATCTAGAGAGTATTAGAGATTTTATTTATATGGGAAACCAAAGCATGGAATTTTATTTATGTTTTTAAACTTTATTTGCTATCCTTAAAATATAAACCTTATGACAAGAGAAAGTTTTACTCAAATTAGAAAATATGAAAACCAAAAAAATGTTGTGACATTATTGAGCATGAAAGCAACTATATAAACTACACAGGGAAATCTTTAAATGATCTGTGAGGTATGAGCTTAGAGATGTGCCTTATTTAGCTTCACCTAGGTTATGAGCATTAAAATTAAAAGTATGATTTTATAACTCAGTGTTTTGGGAAACACTTTTTTGCAGAATATATTTATATTGTTTTAATCACTTAATTGAGGAAGGAGAGAAGAAAGAAGAATAGGTAAAAGGAGACAAAGAGGAAAGAGGAACTGTGACTAAAAATAAATGACTTCTCCTCAATTTCACTCCCCAGCCCTGTTTTCTTCCAGCCTGATTTTTTTAAAGTTTCAATAAGTTTTAGAGTACTGTAAGTTTAGTTGATTAGTACCTATTCCTTGTTGGTTTATCAAATATATTTTTAGACTTATGAAAAAAAGCATAGAGAGAGAGATTGTTAAGTACCCATGATATGGGTACAGTTCAGGTACTATTTATTAACTAGAAGTATCAACCTAAAGATTCTGAGAAAAGCCAGACCACAGTGACCTGCTCTATGCTCCACAATCCAAAGAATCAAGCTCATTAAGCTGACATCACCCGAGGTACCTCTCATAATCATCAAAATTCCCTTTTAAAGCAGTCTGAGACCCCCAAAGCATGTCTCACCCTGGAGCGCCCATACTGCCTCTCCCTTTGAGTGTATATCCTGCTCTGCTGTTTGCATTCCCGAACAAATCTCTTTGCTTCCTTAAATAAATCTTTGATCTTGTTTCTTTTGATGTGTCTTGAAATTCCTCTCCTTGACCTAAGTCAAGAACCTACCAGGGCAGAGCTGTGGATCCCTTTTCCATTCTGAGGACTTCTCAGACTCCATTCTGTGACTTTAATGATATTATTTCAGTTATTCTCAGTGCATTAATATCCATGATGTTTTATTGGACAGTGTCAAACACTGTAAGACAGTTCAAAAGAGCCAAACTGTTCTGATTTCATGAGGACAGTTTGCTATTTTTAATATATCCTTATCATTCAGGAATCAAAGTGAACAACATAATGTTAATTTATGGCCCCTAAAAACTGCTTTTGAAAATAACTAGAGTTTCCTTTTTATTTTTCTTTTATTATTTTGTGGAGGGCATTTTTCATTGTAAATGGTACATAAAACAAAAAAGTTGTGTATTAATAGTGTAATGTGACGTTCGATTCATGTATACATTATATAATGCTTAAACTGGGTTAAATATATAATGTCTTCAAACACTATTTACTTATGGGGAAAACATTTAAACCTAAGCTAAATATTTGAGTTTCTTTAAATATTATCTACCTACAGGAAATAAAATGTCTAGATATTTAGATAAAATAAAATCTTTATAAATTTTATTGGAGTATTTAAGGAAATTAAGAAAACTCTTATTATACAATGTTAAAGTACAAAAACCTAGAGGCTAAGTATAAGCTTAGTATAAATATTAATCTATAAATGTCTTCAAGGTGATAAACTCATATCAGAGTAGTCTTTAGTTAAAACAATATTATATACAACAATAATATTATCCAATAAAAAAACCTGAAATTATACAACATAAATTTACTATTTTTATGGGAGAAAATTATTTTTATAGGGAAAAAACTGAATACTTTATCCTCCTTCCTGTATTCCAGGATCTTGTATATTTTTAACATTTATTTTAATAGAAATTTATATGTGAATTATTATCTTTCATGGTTAGTTGCAAAATAATCACTTGTCTCCCTATAAGGGGTTACTGAGAATATACAATGAACATTAAAAATTTTCAATCAATATTCAGCTTCTCCCATAGTGAAATATCAGCTCAATGGAAGAAAAAAAACAAAAAGGAGTGTGAATGGAGCAAATAGTGAAAGGTGAATTTCAGTAAATAAAATACAATACACTATATTTGGAGAAAAAATTTTAAAACTGCTCAGTGATCATGGACTGTGTACAGTTTAGCTATACAATTTGTTCCAATAGAGCACTGTAATTATGTTACATCTTGAAGCTGTTTCCCAGAGTGGGTTAGTCATTTCAAAACTGGCATTAAATTGTTGAGCATGGTGGCTCACGCCAATAGTCCAGCTACTCAAGAGGCTGAGGCAGGAGGATCACAAGTTTGAGGCCAGCCTGAACAACTTCAGCAATACCCTATCTCAAAAGAAAATAAAATTTTAGAGGAGTCGGAAATGTAGTTAGTGTTATGGTTGGTTGCCTAATGTGTGAAAGGCCCTGTGTTAAATCCCCAATATTTAAAAAAATGTTATTAAACTTAACTGACATGAGAGAATTTAATTCTTTCTTGTTCTAAACTACTCAACTACAACCTAAAGTGGTAGGTGAAACTGTGATGATAGATTTTAAGTACAAATAGTGATGTTGGAAAGAAAAACACATCCAAAGAAAGGAATCCAGGTGGGGATATGTTGTAAGAGTATATTGACATTTATTTATTTATTTGTTTTAAAAATGAATTCTAAAAGGAATATAACCCAGTGTTTAAAACCTCATAAAATATGAAAAGGGAAAAAATATGCACTTTAAAATTCTTTGCCTAACCTGTCATCTCATCTGTTTGTAATTGGTTTTCAGTCCTGTCATTCCAACACAATGGATGTAGCATTTTTATTGCTCAATCTTTCAGCAGGATTTGAGACACTCCATAGTTCTGTCATCTTGAAGCACTCTTCAGTAATAGATGACTCAACTAATTTCTCAACTTTATTTCTGGCTCTCCCTTGATCCTTTAGGGATGTTCCTCTTGTTTGTCTTTTCATGTTAGAGGTACCCAGGGTATTCCTAAAGATACCCTATTTTCCATTCTATGAAATGTCATCAAGTTTTCTGGGATATTCAATTTTATATTTTCATGTTTGATGTCTCAATCTTTAAGATATTATTTGGATGATTACTTAAGCTAATCTTTTGGACATTTAGAGATACAAAAAAGAATGTTTCACAATGTGGAAACAAATGCCCAAGGAAGTATGAATTAATAAACAAAATGTGTCATATGCATACAATGGAAAATATTCATACTTGAAAGGAAAGAAATTCTGACTCATGCTACTATCACTTTCAGGAACTAAACCTGAAGACATTATGCTAAGCAAAATAAGCCAAACAGAACAAAACAAAAGTATTTCTTAATCCACTGATAGTAGGTTTTTTTAAATTCTGAAATTCAGAGAGATGAAAAGTAGAAGGTGATTACTATCACCTGGAGCAAGGAGAAATTGGCATCTGTTGTTGAAAAGGAACAGAGTTTCAGTTTGGGATGTTGAAAAAGTTCTGTAGTTGAGCAATGGTAATTGTTGCACAGTAAGTAAGTAGACTAAAGGCTAAGGAACTGTACTAATGTACAATAATAATGGTTGGAATGGTTAACTTTTATGTTATCACAGTTAAAATTATAGGAAAGTCCAAAACAGAATTACTGTTTCTCTACTTTGTTCCCTTGCTAAGACTCCTAATCCCCCTTTACATATAAAGGCACAACTATCCATCTAGGACCTAGTTGCTCTGATCTAAAATTTAGGAGACATTTCTAATTATTTCTGTGATTCCAAATAAAAACCCATCACAAAATTCAG